AAATAAAAGTTTTTAAAAAATAAAGAAAAAGAACTTTTCTGACAATCTGTCAAAAGCTATGGCCCCCTTTCCCAGGAAATAATGTCTGTATGTGCCAAATCTGCAGCCAACTGTGGAGTCCCAGACCCCTTCGAGACTATCTTTAAGCCTTTTAGATACTGATGGTCCTCAGTTATAAATCCCTGGCCCGGACCATGTCTAAGAGCCCTTTCACCTTAAAAAAACAAAACATTTTTATACTGTGAAAATGTGAACTGATAACCCTTCCAAATCTACTCTCATCCCTGTAACTTGTTTGGGAAACAGCCTGTGAATCAGTGGCATTCAATGACCCAAGAATGATGTACAATTCCAGAAGATTTGGTTTTGATCATCATTTGAAACAATCCTCTGACCTGGGCCAGGAAGTCCTGGCTGAGATGGCGCCGCGGTCCACCGGCTGGTGTTGGACACGAATGATGCACTAGAGATGAAATGCTTGTGGGGCCCTGTGTAGTCCACAATCTCATACTGACCAGGACCTGGGAGAGGCGGCTTCGGAGGCAGAGGCAAAGGCTGAGCAGAGAAGTTCAGGATGGGGTTTTTCCTTTGGAAAAATAAAATGGGAAGATGTCACGAAGGCAGTCCAGTGGGGAAGGCACAGTTTCTAGACACAGCCAAGGCCTGCATAGCACCAAGTTGTCTGCAAGAGGACTGGACATGGCACCTGAGCCCTAACTCCACTGGTAGTGAGCTGGGGACCCCTGGATCTGTTTCCTCATCTGCACATGGCAATCATAACAGTACCTACTTTGAGGTCACGGTTGTCAGGATATATGAGATGATGTGCCTGAAACATGGTACTCAGGACAGGGCCTGGCACACAGTGAGAGCTCCGTGCACATTGTTGGAGATGTGGAGCTCATCAGGAATGGCAGACAGTGTGTATCTCATGTGCCAACTCCAATCAGTTAGTAGTGCCTGGCTGGAGTTCTGTGAAAAAAACTGAAGCTTCGCATGGAGTCAATGAGAAGAGGCCTTGGTGATCCACTTGTGATGTCTGCCATGGCAGGGAAGAGAAAGAGACATCCCATATTCCAGAGATTTGCCTTCCCAAGACCAGCAGGTCTCTAGAGGCCACTGTAACACTGATGTTCCAGAATCCTACTAAATATCATCCTGGCAAGGCAGGAGGCAGGAGTGGAAAAGCACTGGGTTGGAAATCAAGAGACTCTGTAACCCTTACCACTTACACTGCCATTGTTTTCAGGTCTGTCTTCACCTCCTTCAAGAAAGGGAGTCTATCTTTTATCTCTGATATTGAAACATTAAATGAAAGAGAAATAGGACCTGTACTTGAGTCCTAGCTTGGTCATTAATTCACTCTGGGCCTCAGTTTCCCCTCAGTAAAAGGAAGAAGTTGGGCAAGATGACCTCTGAGGTCCCTTCCTGCTGTGACCTTTCATGGGGCCTTGATTCAAAGTTCCACTGGGTTGTCAGAAACTTCTGGGCTTGTTACAGGAATCACGCTACTCTCCCAACCACACAATAGCAAGGCTGCCTCCTCTTGCCTCACACCCAAGACTTCTTCTAAGGTCTCTCACCAAAAGGGAAGAGGAGGTTCTCCGCACTGAACGGCCAAGGGAGCCCTCGCCCAGCACTCAACAACCAAGGGAGCCAGCCCATCCAAGCAGAAGAGGGGAATCCTGGCCATCGGGGCACTGCTGCACCTTATCCAACACCTTCTTAAACACAGAGAGCTTGAGGGGACCCAAGTGATGTCTTCTCAACTTCCTTAGTTTTCTAAAAATGTTGGTGTACAGAGAGACAGAGTAACTGATCCAAAGTTATAGAGCATGTTCGTAGGAATGCTGGCATAGAACTCATGTCTTTGGTGCCTGGCAATATGGAGAAAGCATGATGGCGGAGGGGACTGAGTTTGAGACACACAGAACTGAGACTGAATTCTAGTCACCCCACTTACTGGCTGTAAGACAAGGCCCCCGATCTCTCTGCAGCCTTGTGTCAGTGTACACAGATGGCAAGGAACAGTAACACTAACTTTATAAAGGAGTTATGATGAGTAGAGAAAAGGTATGTAAAGCACCTAGTAGAGCACCAGCACATACTAGGTGCTCAATGGTGGTAGTTGTTATTCTTCTGCTGAGCCCTGTGTCAGCATCACTGTGTGCTGCTCAGTGGCAGGGAAGCAAGTGAGCCTTGTGAAGTACTGATTTAGGGGCCTTTCATCCCAGAGTCATGCTGAGGAAGGGGACACCCTCCCCTCCGTCAGGGAGGACACCAAAAGCCATCATAAACGTGCTTGGGTTCACATCTTGTGGGGGAGGAGCAGCTGGCGTGGATGCTTATATTTAGAACAAAGGTACCCACAGGGAAACGGGGGACATGCTGCCTCCCTTTTTGCTCGAATCTGCATGGAAGAACTGGTTATAGGGTGTAATCAACAACCTCTCCCCTTATAAATAAAACTGGCTTCTCCTTGTTCTGGCTTGCGGCTCCCCCTTCAAAACACCTCCAGACATTTGATGAGTTTGTGGCTGGCATCATGGAGAGACAGGTTTGATTCCTGGAAATTAAAGCTGGAATGAATCAACCACTGTATGAGGTCACCCCATCATTGGTCTGGGTCACTCCAAGTCCAAGATTCCCACCCTGTTCTTTGAGAAAACCATGAGGTGTCTGCTTTCTTAGCCAAGGACAGCCTGCAGGAGGCTGGAGCATGCAGAGTTAATGACTCACCACTGTTCTTGGCAAGGTGGGTTAGAGAGGTCCCTTGTCTTCCACTCCCTCGATATGCCCAGGAGGGGCTCAGAACCTTCAGCCCAGCTCTATGGATCTTTCATGCGTGCCAGCCATGTGTGCAGCTCTGGGCCAGGCATGCTTGGGAATCCAGACTGTTCTGTACTAAGACACGGACCTGAGTATCCTTAAGGGCTTGACAATCCACTGCCAGCAACAGTCATGACTGGTGGCAACTTCAGGCAGTACGGACTTTGCACTCAGGCAGAGCTGGGTTTGAATCCCCACTTCCCTGTTCACCAGCTATGTGTTCTTAGAAAAGGCTCTTAACCTCCTTAAGCCTCAGTTTCCTCATCTGTAAAATGGTGGAAATGATACCTACCACCCAGGATTTTTAGGAATTTTAACTAGTGCTTTACTTGTAACATTTGTTTAAAAACGAAATCTGTTAGAAGTGAAAAAAAAAAAAAAAAAAAAACAAAACAAACAAAAAAAAACTGCATTTAGAGCAGAGAGAAAGAGACAGAGAAAGAGACAGAGACAGAGGGACATTCATTGCAACAGGATGAATCCAGAAATCCACCCAGAAATCCAGAAAATCTTCAGGTGGGGAAGGGCATTTCCAGCAGAGGGAACAGCGGAGCAAAAGCATGGAACGGAGAAAGCTGTAACTGCTGTCGTGGAAATTGGGACACAAGGAGACGGAGGCTGAGCACCTAGACTGCCTTCAACCTTCCATCCTCCCGTGATTTCCGGGTCCTTCACTTGCTTCTGATCCTCCCCACTTATAAACCCTGATGAAAAGTTAAAGGCAAGATCTATTTATGGCCTCTCAATCCAGCCTAATCTCCCACTGTCCCACTGCTTCCGTTTTGCCTTCCAGAAACACCCAACACAACACGCTTCAGCAACTCCATGTCTTCGTCCCGTCCTCTCTATCAGGAGCACCAACTTTTCCTACAAACTCGAATTCAATTCTTGATGTTCTCACTTCCTTCAGGGAAACTTCTCTCCTCCACCCACACCCCTGTCTCACCACCCCCAACCTGACTATCTTGGATGTTACCATCCTGTGACTCAAGAGAGGAACATGGGTTTTGGAAATGGGTTTTGGAGGCAGAGGGACCTGGATTCAAATCCCAGCCCTGCCACCGTAAACAGCCTGCACTTCACCGTAAACTCGGAGTGACACACCCGCCTGGAGGAGAGGTGGAAGGACGATGCCAGATCACATCTGAGAGCTCTCAGCTCGGCGTATGTGGCCCTTGAGTACATTCTGGCTATTGCTTTGCACTTACAATGTTGCATTTTCCATGGATTTTACTTGCCTAGCTCTTTAAGGGAAGGGATTGTGTCTTCCTCAGCTTTGAGGCCCCCAGCCCTATCCTGAGAACATTTGCTGAAGTGCAGAGAAAAGCAGAGGGCTTGCAGCAGGTAAAGGAGCCCAGGCATCTGAGCCCACCTGACGGTTTCATCCTCATCCAGGGCTGGTCCCTCCATGCCGAGGTGGGGCCGGCAAATCACAAAGGTTAGGCCGGATCAAACCCACAGACCATTGTGACCAGGGCTTTTATGAGCCTCATTGCTCAGTTATAAAAGCCACCCTGGCCCTGCCCCTTGAAAAGAAAACATCTATCAAAGCCTCTGAGTTGGCCACAACTGGATTAAGTGTGTTGGCAGCTTCCAATGTGAGCTGTTTGCAAATCACCCAAGAATAATGAATGTCTTAGAGGACTCAGCAGGCCACTTGGGGAAGGCAGCCGAGACCCTCCGGACACTCCCAGGCACACATTCACTCTGCCTCAGGGATTCCCAGGGTTGGGAGGGATAAAGGGGCAATTTTTCTCATCATTAAAGGGCAGCTGATTGCCTCTGGGGTGGAATGCAGTATCTGTTTAACAGGGTAGCGGGTGACAGATTACAGCCACTTGGGAAGAAGCATCCCATATCTAATTGAAAATCCCAGGGGAAGTTAAGGTGGGTCCAATCTAATTACCACAATTGGAGTGGGGCCAACAGGGCTTGATTTTTCAGCTCTGGCTGTGACAAGACAGCGTGCCTGTGCAAATCCAGTGGCTTACAACTCCAGGATGCAGATCAAGGGTTAGAAAGGCAGCCTGAGTATTGCGCCTCCTTGCTGGGGAGTGTGTCGGAAGGCATCGCCTAGGAGGAGCTATTTTGATCTCCAAAACCCTCACCCTGACTCACCCTAAGTCATTGAGTCACCACTGGGACAGATATTGAAGACCTAAAGAAGTGAAACCTTGGCTGACACTTCCCTTTGCTTCTGAAGGCACCCTGGAAGCTGAGAAATCCTTTTAGCTTTTGAGTCAGCAAGGTGGCCATGGCCGTGGAACACCTGATGGCGTGACCTTTAGCTAAGGAGTCAGAAACGCCAGTGGTCACAGCCAGCCAGCCCCTCACACAGCATCCGCCCTACAGGGCCATGCTAGAAACTCTAGGACAACACAGAGGACCCACTCACCTGTTTGATAAAAGTACAGGTTACCCTATGAGTTATGTGGGTTACCTCCTTTTATCCTTGCAACCACATGATGAGGTGCTCTTATCCCAGTTCACCAAGGATGACTCTGAATTCACTGGGAGTTAAGTGACCTTCCTTTCCCCAGGCCCACAGGGCTGGTGAACAGGGAAAGTGGAGTTTCCACGGGGCCTGTGCTAACCCACTGCCTATGCAGCCTCCATGGCCTCCCCAGGAGATGTGGTCAGCCGGTCCCTGCCCTAACAGCTGCCTCCTGAGTTTGATCATATCCACTCATCCTAACACAGCTGGGCTTTACATTTTTTGGCCAGTAACATGGGACTAAAACCTCCAGGGAAAATTCACATCTGCACTGATTCTTCCTGCACTCTGAAGAAGGCAATCCAGAAGAACTTTTCTTTTTTTTTTTTTTTTTTTTTTTTTTGAGACGGAGTTTCACTCTTGTTACCCAGGCTGGAGTGCGATGGCGCGATCTCGGCTCACCACAACCTCCGCCTCCTGGGTTCAGGCAATTCTCCTGCCTCAGCCTCCTGAGTAGCTGGGATTACAGGCACGCACCACCATGCCCAGCTAATTTTTTGTATTTTTAGTAGAGACGGGGTTTCACCATGTTGACCAGGATCGTCTCGATCTCTTGACCTCGTGATCCACCCGCCTCGGCTTCCCAAAGTGCTGGGATTACAGGCGTGAACCACCGCGCCCGGCCCAGAAGAACATTTCTGTAGCTGTAACTCTGCCCAAGAATGAGGAGCCCATCAACTCCAGCCCAAGGCAGATGAAGGCAGGTCTCCCACTGCGTGGCTCATGTGTGTTCCCAAATGAGAAACACGGCAGCCAGTCAGCGCCGCTCCATGTAGCCATGGAGAGCTAAAGAGGATTAGGTCTGATGTGGACACAGTCCTAAGGGAAACTGCATGCAGATGGCGTCACTCTCAGGGGCCTACCGATCTCAGGACCCTGTGTGGCTCCTGTCCCTCTCTTCCCTCCAGGGACACAGGAGGAAACAGAACTGGAATTTGAGAAACTGGATTTTGGATATTTCCTCCAGAAATCCAGAAAATCTTCGGGTGGGGAAGGGCATTTCCAGTAGAGGGAACAGCAGGAGCAAAAGTGTGGAATAGGGAAAACTGTAGCTGCTGTGGCGGGAACGGGGACACAGGAGGTGGAGGCTGAGCACCTAGACTGCCCTCAACCCCTGTCCACCTGTGATTCCCAGATCCTTCACTTGTTTCTGATATTCAACTGTCTTTTCTTTTCATTACATCATTTTCTGTCATTCACCAGGAACAGATGGTTGCTTTTTTTTTTTTTTTTTAGAATACTCCAAAGCCCACCAGTCTTATCTTCTTGCTTTCCAAATAAAATTATAGATTTCTTATCTTTATCTTTTCCATGTTAATTTTAAAGTACATAATCTGGACCTCCTCTGTGGGTCCAGGCTGGCTCCATGTTCATTGCCCCCTGTGTGCCCTCCTGAGTGCCACGGTGAGCAAACCTGGGATTCTAATGTGTCAGAAATGCAGACACCCTTCTTTTCACTTGTAGAGAAATGAAGACCCAGAGAGGTGCCCAGAGCAGCCCCAGACCACAGAGCCAGCTACACAAATGTCCTGTTGTAGAGCCTGGGCACCATTCACTCATTAGGGTGAACCCAAGTTTAGAAGACATCAGGTTAATAGGTTCCTTTACTGCAGACCTTCTCAGAGCCTTTAATATGCCTGTGCAGATGGACTGCAATGTTCTCAGGGGCAGAGGGTTGCTATGCAGTGCTTCCCAGGCTTATTAACCAAAGACCTTTTATTTATGAAGCACTGACAGAGACCCAGCAAGCCCTGGATGCCCCAGACATGCAGCACCATGCACTGCCCAGGGGGAAGAGGGCCCCTTGGGATTGCATGGCCACACACCCCTGGGGCCACCTAACCCAGCATTTTGCTGCATGCTTCTCCACAGCTTCGAGGCTGCTCCCAGATGAGGCTGGCTGGAGGGGTGGTGTCCTGTTCACCCGAGCCTCCAGCACAGAACCTGAACTCTGCAGAGCCTGCTGACTGACAAATGCAAATGCCATAAAATAAGAATGATCTCGAACCACCTGTTCAAACTTGAGCAAAAGCCAGAAGACACTTTACCAGATAAAGCAGTTAAAAACCAAGTGGGCTCCACTCTCATGCTATTTCACCATTTTCCTTGAAGAAGCTTCCAAATTTGGGCTTGGAGCTTGAGCTCCCATGCCAATACAATAACCACAGCTATCATTATAAGGGTAATAGCTATTTTCTTTTTTCTTTCTTTCTTTCTTTCTTTTTTTTTTTTTAGACCAAGTCTCATTCTGTCACCCAGGCTGGAGTGCAGTGGCGTGATCTTGGCTCACTGCAACCTCCACCTCCCGGGTTCAAGCAATTCTCCTGCTTCAGTCCCCCAAGTATCTGGGACTACAGGCATGTGCCACCACGCCCGGCTAATTTTTGTATTTTTAGTAAAGAGGGGTTTTGCCATGCTGGCCAGGCAGTTCTCAAACTCCTAGCCTCAAGTGATCCATCTGCTTGGCCTCCCAAAGTGCTGGGATTACAGGCATGAGTCACTGCGCCCAGCCAGAAATAGCTATTTTCAAACACCTTCTCACTGAATCTTCATGGAATCCCTACAAGATAAGATTCTTATCTCTACTTAATAACATGAAACTGAGGCTCAGAGAGAAGTCTCTGGAAGGTACAGAGCTGGGTTTCATACTCTGGTTGGCCAAACCCAACACCTGTCCTCTTGACCACTCTTTCCCTGGCAGAGTAAGGGAACGGTTGCTTGTGGAGGCGCCACACACAAGCCTGGAGGTGGGAGGTCTTTGGAGAGAGACTTTCCAGAGAAAGAGCTGTTCTGGAGACTGGCCTGCCCCAGCCCCTAGCCCTACAGCCTGTTTAAGGCCAGCCTGCAGAGCCCTAGAACCGGAAGGCAGAAGGGACTCCTCTGGTGGATTCCAGCTGAGGTCTCAATCCCTTCTCTAGATCTTAAGTTTGACTTGGCAGATTCACAACTCTCACCTCTCTCTAACTGTGGTCCCCTTGCCCTAGGCTGATGATCAGACTACGCCGAATGTTGTCAGCCTCTCTGGGTTGCCTGGACTTCTGACCCACTGTGGCCATGGCTCCCACTGCCTGCCTGATCTCTCTGGAGGGGCCCAGGTAGATATATGGTTGGTGCTACCTGGCCAGCTCTCCCAGTGGCCAGCCCTGCCTGGAGGGGATACCTAAGGGTGAGAGCTGAGAAGGTAACAGCAGGACTAACCCTAACTGCAGTTAGCTCCAGAAGTTCTAGAATCATTTGAGAAATAAAGAAGCCTTGTGAGTATTTAAGACTCTTAGGTGAGAGTAACATCAAATGTGCAGGATACTAAACAGAGTAACACAAATCCCTGAATTTACTTTTAAAAATCTGTGTTAATATTGAGTCACCAGCTGCAATGCCAATTCCAAACATATATTTTATTTACTTTTTTTTTTTTGAGACAGGGTCTCACTCTGTCACCCAGGCTGGAATACAGTGGCACCATCTTGGCTCACCACAACCTCCACCTCCTGGGTTCAAGTGATTCTCCTGCCTCAGCCTCCTGAGTAGCTGGGATTACAGGCATACACCACCACGCCTGATTAATTTTCATATTTTTAGTAGAGGTGGGGTTTCTCCCTGTTGGTCAGACTGGTCTCAAACACCTGATCTCAAGTGATTCTCCCACCTCGGCCTCCCAAAGCACTGGGATTACAGGCGCAAGCCACTGCGCCCAGTCAAACGTATATTTTTAATTCTGAAAGCAAGCCCTATGAGGCAGGAATTATTCCCACTTTACAGATGAGGGCATGGAGGCTCAGAGAGTTTAGAGCTCTGCCTAAGGTCACACAGTATAAAAACAGCAGAGCTGAATTACAAATCTAGCAGGTATGACCAACTCCAAAGTCTGGGCTTAAACTTCCATCAGTATAAAACTACAAAAGCTTGATTGCTTCTGAATGTCCTGCCACTGCAGCGAAGATTTTATGTTATCAAAATAGAACAATGTCAGCATTACGGGAAGCCAGCCTCACAGGGGATGAAGAAAGACTTAGACAGCCCTGAACCAATTAATTCCCTGTGGCTCCTCGACTTGGCTGTGTGGACTTAGGCAAATCTTCCACCAAATCTGAAGTCTTGCTTCCTCCTCCACGGGGTAAGAATAACAATTCCTGCAACAGGATTATAATGTTAATGGAATACCATTTTAAGTTTCTGGCACGCAGCTGTTGCTCAATAAATATCAGGAATTCGACAGGCATTTGTTGAGCACCATTATGTGTGACTAAGGGCCGCTGAGGTTCTGCCAAACAGTGACACCCCTTCCTCTTCCCGGTGTTGGGCTCCTTCCCCACAACCACTTTCAAGAGGAAGATCAGAATGGTTGGGACTCACGGGAAAAGAGTCTTTTTTGGAACTTTTGTGCCATCACTGGGGTTGTAATAACCGGGTCCCGGGCCTGTTGACGTCACTTTTAATCCACGGTTGGTTTTTGATTTAAAACAAGACATTAACGTATTTGGCGACTGCTTCACAAGGGATTCACTGATGTTATAATGCCCTAAGGAGAAAGAAACGTTATGACATGATAAGGAGCTCTTCTCAAGTAAGTAAAGAGCGGTACCTTACTCCTAAGAATGCACTTGATGGCTGCAAGGCAGCGTCTCTCTAGGATGGCCAAATGGAAGGCTGCCTGAGACGACCAAAACCAATCCTCACCACGCAGAGAGCAGGCGGCACAGGAATCACACACTTCGCTGATTTAGCTCTTGTGCTAGCCTGGCAAGATGAGTGTCACTGCTTTCATTCTAAACACGAGGAAACTGAGACTCAGAGATATTACATAATTTGCCAAATTATATTAAATAATTTGTCATCTAACCAGGGACGCAGACAAATCTCTCCACCTTGCTGAAGCCCAGTTTTCCTTCTCCATAAAGTAAGAATAATAATTCTACTGACAACAGAGTTGTCATGATAGTTGAATAATATTTTAAGTTCCCAGTACATAGTGGTTGCTTTGCAAATATCATGCAATCAGCAAGGTTCTTTTTTTTTTTTTTTTTTTTGAGATAGGATCTTGCTCTGTTATCCAGGCTGGAATGCAGTGGCACAAGCACAGCTCACTGCAGCCTTGACCTGCTGGGCTCAGTGATCCTCCCATCTCAGCCTCCCGAGTAGCTGAGACTACAGGTATAGACCACCATGTCCTACAAATTAATTTTTTCTTTTTTTGTAGAAATGAGGTCTCATTATTTTAACTAGGCTGGTCTTGAACTTGTGAGCTCAAGCAATCCTCCCACCTCAGCCTCCCAAAGTGCTAGGACTACAGATGTAAGCCGTCATGCCCAGCTAACATGTATGTATTGAGCACCAACATATAGAGACTGGTCTGCTTGTCTCCAAAGCCCACACTTCCCCACCATGCCACAATGCCTTGTCTCGAGAAACTGTGACAGAATAAAATGAATTTGTGTTCAAAGCTCTAAGGAAGAAGAGAATGGCCAAAACTGGGGTGAAGAGGAAGCGGTCTCACCCCTAAGTTGTCAGTAGCCCTGTGAATAGATGTTCTTCGCCACTCTATTCATATTTGCAATCAATTCAAAACAATCTCACTTTCCAATAAAACAACACTGTTTCCTTAATTTACGGTACTATTATATAATAATATACCATATATCTATTTAATATGATGTTCTGAAGGGATTTTTATTAACATGAAAAGATGTTCCCAGTATCGGCCAGCCATGGTGGCTCACGCCTATAATCCCAGCACTTTGGTAGGGCGAGGTGGGCGGATCACTTGAGGTCAGGAGTTTGAGACCAGCCTGACCAATATGGTGAAACTCCAAATCTCTACTAAAAATACACACATAAATACAAAAATTCAGCTGGGCATGGTGGCGTGTGCCTGTAATCCCAGCTACTCAGGAGACTGAGGCAGGAGAATTGCCTGAACCCAGGAGGCGGAGGTTGCGGTGAGCCGAGATCGTGCCATTGCACTCCAGCCTGGGTAACAAAAGCGAAACTCTGTCTCAAGAAAAAAAAAAAAAAAAAAAAAAAAACAAAAAAAAAAAAAACAGATGTCAGCAGTATTTACAATATTAGATAACTATCTCTCATATCATCTGTTTCATATATATAATATATATATATATATTTCTACTAAAAAGGTTATAGCAACACTTGAATTACAAAATATGGAAAATGATGAAAGGTAAAAGCAAGGAATAGAAGGCATTTATGCTGCCACTACCAGAGGGGGCCAACTGCCAGGGAGCGGGGTTGGGGGTGAGCTGAAGGTACCAGGTATTGAACTAGATGGGCCTGGACTGAAATCAAGCAGTGGGGCCGGGCTGGTGGCTCACGCCTGTAATCCTAGTACTCTGGGAGGACGAGGCGGATGGATCACTTGAGGTCAGGAGTTTGAGACCAGCCTGGCCAACATGGTGAAACCCTGTTTCTATTAAAAATACAAAAATTAGCTGGACGTGGTGGCGCATGCCTGTAATCCAAGCTACTTGGGAGGCTGAGACAGGAGAATCACTTGAATCCAGGGGATGGGGGCGGAGGTTGCAGTGAGCCGAGATCATGCCACTGCACTCTGGCCCGGGACAACAGAGCAAGATTCCATCTCCAAAAAACAAAACAAAAACGAAAACAAAAAGAAATCCAGCTGTGGGACACTGGGCCCATCACCTGCTTTCCTGTCACCTTTGTCTGTGAAGTAGGGATAAAATAAGAATTGCTCACACTTTCTGAGCACATGATTTTGTGGCAAGTACCTGCTCCATGGGGCTTTGGAGGATTCAATGAGATCATGAATGTAAGGCCCCTGGCACCCATGGTGAGCTTAACAGATGCTAGTACCCACCATTCCCCTCCTGTTCTGTGTTATAAGGGGCCGGGAGCTTCTCAGGATCCCCCCCAATGAGGGAACAGGCACATATGGTGGACTGTGGAGGTGTCGGCATCTCAGGGCTCACTGACAGGGACTCTGGCCAAACCCCAGGGATGCCGGCTTTGTTCTTCTGTACAAACAGACAAGGCGGGGTTTTGCCCATGGATGATGCAAGGCAGGGGAGCTTGAACTGGGGCTGAGCCTCCTAATTAGTGCTGGTTTTGTTATTCAGTTTCAGATTGATCTTTTCAACTTTAATCTGGATTTGCTGAAATCTGACATGCACTACAATTTTATCCACACCCCTGTGCAAGGGGCGTGATTGCAGAAGCAACCTTCCCTGCTGCTCCTCCCGATTCTGGAGCCCAAGGCTTCTGGGACAGCTCTGGTGCCCAAGGCTCCTGGGGGTGGGGCATGGTCTGTGGGGCCTATTTGGGGTAATCTAACATAATGAGCACTCCAGGCCTGGAGGTCAGAGAGCACAGGAGAAGCACAACAGCTTTCCCCAAGCCCAGCAGGGGAAACACTTGCAGGAAAGCTCTTGTGTACTCCTGAATCTTGGGGGTTCCAAAAGGGGCAATGAAATGAGGGGGGAAATGGGCTCCTTAGTGAGACAGCTCTGGGCTTGTGCCTGCCATTTACCGGCTGTGTGACACTGGGCAAGTCATTTTAACTCTCTGAGCCTCCATTTCCTCATCTGAAAAGCAAGGATAAGTGAAGACCTACGACGACAGACCTGCAAGACTGCATGGAAACCACTCAACGTGGTGGGGGGGTGTCGCGGAAACAGACCTGCCTCGTCTGTTTTATGACTAGATGATGAAGTCACCTCTAGCACAGGAGAAAAGGAATGTGGCAGCTGAGTGTTGAAGGAACAGGATGTATGGTCATACCCTGTATCTCCCACCCCTCCCCGGTGGCCTCTGATGGCACCTGGGCTATAGGAATGTGTATACTTCTGAGGTGAGAAGCCACTTCTCCACTTGGCTGCCCAGGGCAGGTATGCCAGGTCACAAAGGGGAGGCCAGGAAACTGCTTTGGAGGTGCATTTCCAGAGCCAGCCATTGTGCTCCTGGTGGGGAGGCTGGCCGTCTCCTCACCTCTCCTCCTGTTCAAGTGCCTCCTCCTCCTCCCACCCAAACACTAAATCCCTCCAAAGACTCCCTATGAAGAAGTAGGTCCCCTGCAAATCAAATCTGGGACATGAACCCTTGGGTCAAGGCCAGCGCAAAGCAGCTGCTTACCTGGGGGAGGTCCTTTACCAGCAAAAGCGAGAGATCCTCTTTGGGTTTTTGACATAAACCCGGCTCGGGCACAGACGTTGTTTCTCTGCTTGCAGCAAGAGACGGAGGCCTAGAGGGAGAAAACCCGCCCAATGCGCTCAGTGCCTTTCCTTTCTTTGTCTTTGTCATCGTGCCTGGACAAGTGGCAAATCTAGGTTTAAAAAATCAAACTGAAACCTGTCCTTCTCAGCAAATGAACAGATATGAGCTGTAAAGGTCACACTGACAGTGGTTTCACCGTCATCCCAGCTCAAGTGATCTATGAGTTTGTGATCCCCAGAAAATGCTGGTCACTCAACAAGGAACAGGACACACAGCTAGCTGCAGGCCAGCTTCCAGGCTCCCTTCTGCTGAGGACAGGCTGTGTGGCCCTGCATCAGTCCTGTAACCTCTCTGAAACTGAGTTTCCTCATCTGTAAAATGGATTGGATAGTCAGCTCCTCTTGCTGTGGAGTCCTGCCAGGGAGTCGGGGTGGCCCAACAGAGATTACCTCTAGGAAAGTGTTTTTTTCTTTTTAAAGTATGTAATGCTACGCCTGCAAATTATCTTCATTATTTTTGCTTTTTTTTTTTTTTTTTTTTGGAAAAAATCTTCTTGCTGTGTTGCCCAGGGTGGAATGCAGTGGTGCCATCTCAGCTCACTGAAACCTCTGCCTCCCAGGCTCAAGCAATCCTCCCACCTCAAGCAATCCTCTCTCCTCAGCCTCCACAGTAGCAGGGACTACAGGCACATGCCACCACACCCGGCTAATTTTTTTGCATTTTTTGTAGAGATGGAGTTTCAGTATGTTTCTCAGGCTGATCTCGAACTCCTAGGCTCAAATGATCTGCCCACCTCGGCCTCCCAAAGTGCTGGGATTACAGGTGTGAGCCACTGCACCCGGTTTTCTGCTATTTTCACTGTTTTCAGGACACGTACCCCTACCAATCCCCATCCTCATTCCTAGGTGCATTGCTCACTGTTCAAACAGCCTTTCTATAAATGCAGCATTTGGGGCACACAACAAAATTGTATCATTTAAGATTGTGATCAGATTTGCAAGCACTCCCTTGTCTCAACTTTTCTGAACTGACCAGAAATTAAGAATTCTGGTCAACTCACGAAATACATTTGAGAGTGTGCAATGTGTCCAGAACTCTAAAAATAATAGGAAAAAAACCCCTGAGATCATTCTTCTGTTACACATGGATCATAAATATTTTAAATGTCAATGTGCAGTCTCCTGTACTCATTGGAGAACAGAGGCAACACAAATTAAACCAGTGATTGCTGGGGATATTTACTGAATGAGTGAAACTATTTGCTAGGGCCAAGATGGTGTGATTTGCTGTGATACTCCTTTGTCAAAAAAAATGTTTCTTGAGAAATGCAGATGGCATTTTGATTTTGTGTTGACAAAGGTGGAGGAATTTAGCTTTTCTCAGGGCCTTAATGGCTAGACGGCATGCAGAGAGGGCAAACAAAGAGACCAGATGGGACAGGTTAATTACTGGACACGGGACTCGGGGGAGAGGAGCCAGGTTGCCAGAGAGAAGGTAATAACACAGTACCGAGGAAGAGGACTCAAATATACAAGTGAGGGATCGTGGCAGCAAAGGCAGAGAAAGGCTTTGGCAGACTTCAAAGCAGTGTGGCTAACAGGATTACTGCATTTCTACCCCCCACCACTTGACTCAACCATTGTTCTCCTGGCCTGAAAAAAAGCCACCTGTAGACAAAACATCACTTCAGCTTTATTTTTCACACAGACAGAAAAGCATCTGAAAAGGGGGCATTTTTGTATACGCTGAGTGTGCGTCACTGGAAGATTTCCCCATGAGGCCAGGAAAACAGTCAGCAGGTTAAAAAAGACGGAAGCAGATTTGTTGTATTGCCGTGGAAAGAAATCTAAGAAGCAAATGCATGTGTACTGTGTATATACAGCATAATGCTCATATTGGTGGAGGGACAGAGCAGAAGAGAATAGGAAAGAAATTGCACCTGGTTTTTCTTTGGTTTGGTTGTTTTTTTGAGATGGAGTCTCACTCTGCCACCCAGGCTGGAGTGCAGAGGCACGACGTTGGCTCACTGCAATATCCACTTCCCAGCTTCAAGCAATTCTCCTGCTTCAGCCTCCCCAGTAGCCAGGATTACAGGCATATGCCACCACACCTGGCCAATTTTTGTATTTTTAGTAGAGGCAGGGTTTCGCCATATTGGCCAGGCTGGTCTCGAACTCCTGACTTCAGGTGATCTGTACACATTGGCCTCCCAAAGTGCTGGGATTACAGGTGTGAGCCACTGTGCCTGGCCTGCACCTAGCTTTTGATGCAGTGGTTTGCTTTGGGAAGTAGAATTATAAGGGACTTCCACTTCCTAATTCATGGGTTTCTGCAGGGCTTGAATACATTTTATGATGAGTGTGTATTATTTTCAGGGTCATATTAAGACAATAATGAACAAAAAACATGCACCTAAATGTATCTATTGGCAGAAGGACACAATTCTGACTTGGGAAGTGGTCACTTCTAGGTTAACAGCTGTATACTACTGGGAAGTTCTTCCTTTGATGAAATAAACATTGATTGGATGCTTACTGCATCCCAGGACCCATGCTGGTCATTGGAGACAGGAAGCAGAGTGAAGGAGCAGACACTGAGCTGGGGAGAATCACACAGGAAACACTGACTGTCGCATCCTTCAGGTACAACCGGGAGGCTGCAGAGAGAGGCAGCCACACGGACAGTCAGTGCCAGCGTCTGTCTCCCAAGCAGGCTGGTTCCCACTTGGGACTGGCAAAAGAGCAGTGGCTAAGCCCCTTCTGATCACTTTCTTGGACTACACCTTGTCCTCTCTCCTGTTAGCACAGTAGTCTCCTCACTGGTTTTCCAGAACCCACTCTTCAACCCACACTGCAGTCCATTCACCACACAGCAGCCGGAAGGAGCTTTTTTCTTTTTGAGATGGAGTCTTGCTCTGTCACCTAGGCTGGAGTGCAGTGGTGTGATTCTGGCTCACTGCAACTTCTGCCTCCCAGGTTCAAGCGATTCTCCTGCCTCAGCCTCCCAAGTAGCTGGGACTACAGGTGCGTGACACCATGCCTGGCCAATTTTTTTTGTATTTTTAGTAGACACAGGGTTTCATCTTGTTAGCCAGGATGGTCTCCATCTCCTGACCTCGTGATCCACTGCCTCAGCCTCCCAAAGTGCAGGGATTACCAGTGTGAGCCACCGCACCCAGCTGGAAGGAGCTTTTTAAAAAATACATCAGATCATACCACCCCACACCTCCAACCCACGAGGGGCTTCCTAGGATCCAGAGAACAAAATGTGAACTCCCTCCTGGGATCTTCAGGGCCCTGCATGAACTGGCTACTGCCTGTCTGGCACCCCCTTCTCCCCTCTCCTCCTAGCTCATGCTACACTAGCCATTCGACCTTCCTGTAGGTCCTTGTGGGCTGAGTTCCTTGCTGTCCCAGGACCTTTGCACATGCTGTTTCTCCAACCCTGGCTCCTCTTCAATCCTTGGGTCTCAGCCTTGGGGCCTCCTCTGACCGTCAAGTCCAAAGTATGTGGTATTGCCCACCTCCATATCCCCACATATTCTCTCTCAGGCTCCAGCTGTCCCTCAGAGTTGACAACGGTTTGAAATTATTTTGTTTGTGTACCTGTTCTTTTCTAAATTCCTCACTGGAATCTAAGCTGTATCATCAGCCTGGCACAGAAGAGCAACAGGATCCACAGAGGGAAGCCTGTCAGGGCTGGAACGAGGTGACTTTGCTCATTCCCCAGCTTTCCACCCCAGCCATCCACCAGTGCCTGCTGATGTGCAAATGATGCCTTCAAGCTGGGGAACTTGGGCAAGTCCCTTCACCTCTCTGAGCCTCAGCCTTCTCTTCTGTGAATTGGGAACAAGATAATCCACTTCATGGATTCACTTGTGAGTATTAAATATGATTAACACATCACTCTTAGACCAGCTCTTAGTACATGAGAAGTGTTCCCTCCTCCTCCTCCTCCTCCTCCTCTTCCTTCTCCTTCTCCTCGTCATTTTCAGGCTCTGATTATGCCAAGGGAAGGCTGCCCAATATAGTAGCCACAGGCTGCATGTGGCTATTGGCCCTGGAAACATGGCTGGCCCAAATTAAGATGTGCTGGAAGAATAAAACACACACTGGATTTTAAAGACCAAAGACAAGGAAAATAATCTTCCTCAAACAGAAAATTAATAATTTTGATATTGATTAGTGTTGAAATGATAATATTTTGGATCTGCTGGTAAAAGGCATTACTCAAATTAATTTCATTGGTTCCTTTTTCTTTTTAGATGTGGCTACTGGAAAGTCTTCAGTGACTTCTGTGCCTCCCATTGTACTTCTAGTGGACAGTGCTAGCCCAGCAGGCACTTACAGTACTTTGGACACATATATAATTGCTTGGCTCCATCATAGAAGGTGGGCAGGATCTTTGTAGTCAGAAAAATAATTATTATTTATAAATATTATGCAGGAAAAAAGGAAATGGTATAATTAATGTATACGATCAAAATAGTTTGAAAAATGGCATAATAACATTACTATCTTAAGTACAATTTGTATCTTAGGCACTTCAGAGTAATTTCACGTTCCTTGCCTTATGATCACCCCGTAGGGCGAGTAAAATTGATTCCATTTTACAGTGGGGGCTGTGACTTACTTACTTATCTCTTATTTAAGGTAAGTAAGTATCTTAATTTGCTAACAAAGATGGCTCTACCAATCTCCATGTATTGTGTGGTCCTTGGGTGACTGCTGCTGTCCTGGGCATGCAGCATAGATTGTCTCATTTAATATTTGCATTAACACTATGAGGTGAACATACATCCCCATTTTACAGATCAAGAAACTAAGTCCTGGAAAGGTTAAAGGACTTGCCCAAGGCCACACAGTTAGACAGTGGCAGAGACGAGAGCTAAACCAAACATCCTGAATCCATCTCTTAACCATCCACGCCATTCTGCCTCAGTGAATACAAAGTGATCATAGTTGGCATAGCAGGGCACGGCTGTTAAAACACGTATTTACTGATATGAAAGAAGTTTCTTTTCCCTAGAACTGAAAAAGTAAATCACTAGTGGCTGCAGATAAGTGGTAACTAATCCACCCATTGTTACAGATGAGAAAACTATGTCCCAGAAAGGCTACAGGACAAGACTAATTAGAGTATGTGTTTCTCAGGGCAGCGGTCTCTCCACAGCTTCATAATGGCCTCCATGTTGCCCACTTTGTTCTCTGGGGTCTACAAATTCCCTGTAAGAGTCTTGTATAGCTGGCTTGGCGCAATGGCTCATGCCTGTTATCCCAGCACTTTGGGAGGCCAAGGCGGGTGGATCACAAGCTCAGGAGTTCAAGACCAGCCTGGTCAACATGGTGAAACCCCGTCTCTACTAAAAATACAAAAATTAGACGGGCGTGGTGGTGAGCGCTTGTAATCCCAGCTACTCGGGAAGCTGAGGCAGAAGAATCGCTTGAACCCCGGAGGCGGAGGTTACAGTGAGCCACTGCACTCTCAAAAAAAAAAAAAAAAAAAAAAAAGAGTCTTGTACAGCCTTAGGCACCCATTGGATAGTCAACAAATACTAACTGGCTTGACAACTGCATTAAAATGTGATGTCCCTAAGATCCCCTCTTCCTTTTATTTTAGTAAACCATTCATTTGATCTATATTTAGCAAGCATATGCAGGGTTCTTACATTGTAATAGTTTGGTGCAGGAGTTTCAAATCTGAGAACTTTCCTAAAGCTTGGCAACTGGAACATGCTGGAACACGAATTACTGAAGTCTCTCTTGGAAATAAAATCTGATGGGATAGTGTATGCATTCGCTGCAGGATATTTAGAAATGTTGGTGTCCAACCGGGCGCGCTGTGAAGAGACAACCAAAAGAATCAGTATTGTCACATCATCCTGTGGCTCTGAAGGACAGATGTCAAAAAGATGGCGGCCAGCACAAGGTTTAAATGCATTTTATAAAAGGCGAATTTCTGGCAGGTAACAATGATAAACTGACCTCAGGCTTTGAGGATCTGCCCTTGGAAAATGCAAGTTCAGACCTGTACTCGCTTCTGTAAACTAACTCAAATTATTCATCTTCTGTTTGGGACTTGGCAAAAATGATTTTGCCATAACTGCATTTCCACCCAATCCTGTTCCAGGCCACTTACCCTTGACTCATCAGCTGTTGCGTAACTTATGTGATAGGAAGCTTCAGATGTTCTTCTCAGCCTAGGCTTTCTTCTGAGTAAAATCTCGCATCTTGTTTCTAAGGTTAAAATATCTGAACTGCCTAAGCAACAAGTTTGCTTCAAACAGAGCTCCAGGGGGCTTGCTGTCCACCCGTGCCTCCTACCCTCCACCAAATTACTGTTTTCATCAAATCTGACAGTATTTTCACTGTTTAACAAAACCAATCTCACTCCTTTCAGGAAGCCACGATAAATTATCTTCGGTTAAAAAACAAACAGAATCAATGTTTGTCAAAAGAACAGGGACAAAAGTCACAGAAACTCGGTGATACCATCACTTTCCCCTAAGATAGCATGGCAAGTACTGGAGTCTGATAAAACAAAAAATTTCCCACTATTTAATGGTTAAAAGCTTGAGAACGTTGCCCTGGATTTTCTCACTTGATAGGAATCAGTAACTACACAAACACAGAAAGTGGCTGAGCCCAAAGGAAGGCAGTAGGGGCCCCCACTACTTCACTCTGTGCTTGGTGGTGATGGTTCTCAGCGTCTGGTTTATGGACCACCGCTGGCATGTGGGTGGGTGTAGCACCAGAAGCAGGGGTGTTCTTGTCCAGAGCCTAACCTGGGTTCAAGTCCCAGCTCGACCTCAACCTCTTCAGTATGGGAGTTAACTCCAAAGCTGGTCTGTTCCTTGAGTATCCAACTCTGCCAAACTCAAATTCCAATAAGAAATGGCTACATGCAGTGCGTAAGGATTTGCTGATGCTCCGGGAAGTAAGGTCACCCCAGCCTTGAACGCGTGCTTCACCTTTTTCATTCTGGCTAAGAGTTAACCAGTACCTTTCGGGGATTTTTGTGTTTAATCCTCATGACAACCCTGAGCAGTGGATCTTATGATTATCTCCACTTTACAGATGAGGAAGCTGGACTTCCTCAGCTAATTCAGGCAGAGGACCAGCATTTCTACCCAAGTAGTCGGCCTCCACTACGTGACATGGATCACATGGCTCATTCTAAAGAGGAATGGGTCAAGTGGTGATAGCAATCTATCACTGACTCTTTTGGTTTAGAACACCTACGACTTACATTTTGAAAATGAAAAACTATTCTTCCCAAAAAAGTCCCAGTAGAGGCAATGTTTTATAAAGTATCGAAATAGAATTAGTCTCAGAGTGTGGCTACAGTGACATCACTCACCAACACTACACACCCCTTGGTTTTCTGCCAGGCCTGTGGCCTCCAATCTGGCCATAAGCTGGCATTTATGAGCCTGTCTCCAGCACCTACCAATTTTTCTAGAGCCACTCCTGCTGGCATGCAAATACAGAGAAGCCATCAAAGTCTCCACCCTCCTACCTCATTTACTTCTCCTAGTCAGTCCTGTGGAAGATTCTGGAGCAAAGATTCGGAATATACTAATAAAGCTCTTTATATCATTTGGACTTAGAGAGATGACAGATCTCTCAAAAGGTTGGATGTGGTTGTCTCAACAGTCATGAGGAGGTTTCTAAAATGTATAGACCCACAGTTTTCTGGTCAGCCTTATCCATAATCACATCCCTACTGGTCATTCCGATTTTTCTCTGATGAGAGCTACTTTTAATTCCCCCCGAGTCTTGGGATCTAGAAGTGGGGGAGGGGCTGAAGGTGAAAGTTACTGATAGAGGCAGTGGGTGGGAGGATATGAAATTCTCATCCAGTTCATCCAGGAAGGAGGTAAGATGCAGGGATCTCCTGATAAAGCTCCATCGACCGCTTCAGGCACCCACCCCAGGTACAGGACCTTAAGTGTTTATACTTGAGTGTAACATAACTATAAATACAAATCCCCGTATTTGTCAAAGGGAGGAGAAGAGGAAGCCTGAGCAACTCAAAGTCTACCTTCTTTGGAGTTTGGTTCTGAATTTTTTAAAGGCCTAAAAGGCATGGCTAGGTTCTACAACACTCAGATCTTTCCTAGGGCCCCTTCTCCTCCAGAGCAGTCCGGCTTTTCATTTGGAAAGTTACTGCGTGCAAAGCCCAGTAGAGAACCGATTGCGTGCTCTGATTCAGTCTCTTTTTTGGCACCAAGAAGGAATGGGCAGTGCCATTATTTAGCAAAGAAGTTCTCGGAGAGAAAACCTAGGTGTTGCAGGAAGTATTGTTTGTGACTCAGGTGGTAACAATCATAATATTTAGCATGTTTATAGTGCTTTGCTGTTTCAAAGAGTATTTCACTCATTGCAACGTTAATTTGCCCAGTGCCTCCAGGGAGTCTCCACTTTCATGAGGCAACTGGGACACAGAAGGGTGACGTGCTTGAGGTCACGTCAAGAAGCCACAGCTGAGTCAGAATCAGGTCTTAAGTCTTGTCTTCTAAGCCAGGACTTCATGAGACGGCACTTCTTTTGAGTTTCTGTCCCAGCAGCGCTGGTGGTAGAATAATAGGTAGAGGCATGGCTGCTGTGTGAACCTGCCGAGGCCATGCACAGACTCAGCTTCTTCAGTAATGGGGAGTTCACTCCAAAACGGGTCTGTTCCTTGAATATCCATCTCAGCCAAATTCGAATTCCAATAAGACGTGGCTACATTCAGTGTGTCTTAAATGGTCCCTTTGTGTGGTTTAAAAAAAAAAAATCAGGCTGGGCACGGTGGCTCACACCTATTATCCCAGCACTTTGGGAGGCCCAGGGAGGTAGATCATGAGGTCAGGGGTTTGAGACCAGCCTGGCCAACATGGTGAAACCCCATCCCCTCTAAAAATACAAAAATTAGCTGGCTATGGTGGCAGCCACCTGTAGTTCCAGCTACTTGGGAGGCTGAGGCAGGAGAACTGCTTGAGCCCAGGAGGTGCAGGTTGCAGTGAGTCTAGACTGTGCCATTGCACTCCAGTCTGGGCAGCAGAGCAAGACTCCATCTCAAAATAAATAAATAAATAAAAATTCCAATGTCAGGCATCATAATACATCTGTGCAAGAAATTATTACAACTTTTTAAAAGAGATAAGATAGCATATGTTGGTTAATGTAATGTTAGAGTCTGGGCTTACTTTCTTTTTCACCTGTTTTTGAGACAGTCTCCCTCTATCAGGAGTGTGATAGTGGTAGTGCAATCATATTTCACTGCAGCCTCAACCTCCTGGGCTCAAGCAGTCCTCCCACTTCAGCCTCCCGAGTAGCTGGGACTATAGGCACACATCAGCACTCCTGGCTAATTTTTAAATTATTTTGTAGAGGTGGGGTCTCACTATGTTGCCCAAGCTGGTCTTGAACTCCTGGGCTTAAGTGATCCTCCTGCACTGGCCTCCCAAAGTGCTGGCATTATAGGCATGAGCCACCGTGCCTGTCCCCTTCTCGCCCTTCTTCATCAAGCAGCCTTACCCTAGTTTGTATCTTTCCCTTTGCTGTATCTATTTTTCTTGACCATTGATAAATATTTTTAAGAAGCCCCTCTTTGCCCAACTCCGGTCAGGGTCATTGGCAATTCATATAGCTACTTAATTGTTACAGTCCTCAACAAAAATAAAGTCCCATCTCTTACAAAGAGAAGGAATGGGGGCGGGGGCAGTACATTTCAGGCCCACTGCCGTCTTTCTCTTTAGTCCTATCAGACTTCTCAATACTTTGAAAACCCAATGAGATTAAGCATTGTAAAAATCCTATTACAATAAGATGTGTAAGAGTAACAATTTCCTGACATGCCTAAGAATCTCAGGAAAATCCTAGCTTAGTCCACTCAGTGATGACAAAATTGGTTTGGTAGGATCAAGTTCTGAATATTCCTCTGGCTTCTCTTCCCACCCTGGCAATGGGTGAAGCTGGGAAAAAGTTACTTAGAGACACAAGGTCCAATTTATCTGCATGAAATTTGAGGAGGCAGTGACTCTCCTAATTAGAACCATGGGCCTTTGGAGAGAAAGGACCAGATGTCCAATATATAATTATGCAATGAATGAAGGAAATTACGGACCAGTTCATGCTTTACTCAAGAGAAGTGGCTCTCACCGTCGAGGGAAACGTGCATGTTCCTTTCTTGGACAACGAGACACTGTTGGACACGGGCGACTGGTGAATGACATTGTAGGACCCAGGACCTGGGATATCATTCTGAAAGGGAAGAGAAGGTGGCATCATCAAGACACTTCAGTTCCATTGTGCTTTCCCACAGGCTTTACCTCCATTCACACTAAGCCTCACTGTAATTGCACAGCACAGGCGCTACCGTCACTTGGCGAGTGACAGCCTGGCTCCACCATTTCCTGACTTGCCCGCTCAGTTACCAAGGGGTGGGGCTGGAATTCCAATCCAGACTAGGACTCCCAAAGCCCTTGCTCTTTCCACTATGCCATGATGAATTCTAAAAGAACATGGTTATTTTTTCACGTCATTAGAGAAATGGGCATAAAATGGGACACTGGACATGGCTGAGGAGCAAGGCAGTGTGCAGCGATTGGGTAAGCCAAACCCACGGCAAGGGAAGGGTGAGTGACTGCACGTTCACCCCACCCCACCTGACTCAGCTTCCTCCTCGGCCTTTCAGAAGAGAAACCAGGGAGTGTTTCTGTTTACAAAGCAAAATGAAACAAAAACAACCTTCATCCCAAACAAGGCCGTTTCTAACTCAGACAAAAAGAGGCAAGCTCTTGAGGCTCAAATGCTGCATGGTGCAGGCATGTGAGAGAGGAATAAACAAGAGTTCGATTCCAAGTTCATTTCTGCTGCAGCAGCTCATTGGGCTTCCATCGCATCTCCCATGCTGGTGACCAGGGGGAAGTCAATGCTGACAGAAGCTGGCGGAGCACGCGGTATGAGATGCTAAGGATGCTCCCCTGTCACAAGACGTTCCTGGGGCCTGCTTGGTGCCAGAAGTTTTTCAAAGTTTGTCTCATTTTCACCATCGGCCAGTGAGGGAGGGATTATTGTCCCCATTTGATAGACGGAGACACTGAGGGCACATGGAGATGAATTTGCCCACGTCCCACTGCTGTAAGTGGCAGTATCTGACTTCAGTGCTAAGTGCACGGTGTGTGCCGTCTCGTTTACTCCTCACACAAGCCTTTTACAATGAGGTATGGTCAGGGCCACTTTAAGGCAAGTGAGGCCCTGAGACACTGGGCCATAGCTAGTAAGTGGCAAACCCCAGAGCTGGGCCCAGACAGCACGACTCCAGACCTTGCTCTCTCCAATCTCTGCCACTCAGGCCTGGCCTGTCTCCCCTGTCCTCCTGCCTTCCTTAGGGTAGAAAGCTCAAGGCACCATCAGTGCCTTCCAGGACTTTCCAGTCTGGCTGGGCAGTGTGTAATTACGGTTTTATATAAGGGATCGGGTTGAAGTGCTATTCACAGGTTCTTCTGTGCTGACTTTTAAATTCAGTGAGTCCTTTCACCCTTGCCCCATGGCAGGTGGGGACAGGGGAGCTGATTCCTGCTTTAGGTGAAAATGATCCTGGTAGACAGAAGCGGAACTGGCTGTCATGGAGGGTGAGGCAGGCAGCAGGAGGCGCTGCGGGGCCAGGTACTCCAGCACCCCAGGCCGAGAGCTCAGGAGAACCCTGGTGTGGATGCAGATGTGAAGGGCCATGGGGAGACAAGGAAGAGACTTTTCCAGGCAGCTGCTAAAGGGAAAGCATCAATTTACCGAGAGCTCATTGCGTGCCATGCATTTTCCCGAGGACTTTACATGTACTATTAGCTCGCTCAGTCTCCATTTGAAAGAAGTTGGTGACGAAAGAGATAAGGCCCACATAACTACTAAATGTCAGAGCCAGAACGGAGGCGCTCTGACCAGAGTCTGCTTTTAACCACGAAACCAAACTAACTCTCAAATGAGATTGTGTAGGATTAAAAAACAAAAAACCGGTCAGGCGCAGTGGCTCACGCCTGTAATCCAGCACTTTGGGAGGCCGAGGCGGGCAGATCATGAGGTCAGAGATCGAGACCATCCTGGCTGACATGGTGAAACCCCGTCTCTACTAAAAATACACAAAATTAGCTGGGCGTGGTGGCACCTGCCTGTAGCCCCAGCTACTTGGGAGGTTAAGGCAAGAGAATCTCTTGAACCCGGGAGGCGGAGGTTGCAGTGAGCCAAGATCGTGCCACTGCTCTCCAGCCTGGGCGACAGAGCAAGACTTTGTCTTAAAAAAAAAAACAAAAAACAAACAAACAAAAAACTCCACTGGCTTATGAATCAGAATTTCGTCTCAGTGCTGCTACAAGCTAAGTGATTATTGAGCAAGTCATCTCTCTGGGCTTCCCTATTTGCAAGTCCAAGGTGCTGGGCCTGGGGGTGCTTTTGAGCTTCCAGAGTCCCTGCATCTAGCAAAGCTGACACAGGAAGTGTCACTGTGACTTTTCTAAGTTTAAATAGTAGATAGTGAAGACACACACCTCCAGCTCCCGGTCTATCACCACACTCTCAATCTGACCATCAGTTGGGAAGAATTTTCTGAGCACTTATATGTGTCTGAGGAGCTAGGGTTTCCAGATAAAATACATGCTCCAAATGCCTGCTCCATCCTACTGTCCAGTTAAATTAGAATTTCAGATAAACTGCACATGGTGATTTTGGCATAAGTATATCCCATGCAATATTTGGAATATATTTGTACTAATAAAGTTGCCATTTATCTGAAATTCTAATTTAACTAAACATCTTATATTTTCATTTGCTGAAGCTCACAACCTTCCCGGGTTTTAATCACACTTTAATTCTGCCACATTGCAAACTGGCTTGAGTCCAGGATGAATGGGAAGCGGGCTGTTACCACTCAGCCTGGAGAAGTGGAGCGCTGCTTGTGTGATCTTAGTGAGCAAAAACAGAGTCCTCCAGGCAGCAGCAGCTGGAGCTGGCTGTGGCAGCTTGTGAGGACAACTGTTAAAAATTCCAAAATGTTGCTGGTACTGGCTTGCAATTGGCCAGGTGGGAGTATTTACACCACAAAAAGGGGCAGATGCTGCATCCCAGCACTTTTCTTTGAGGAGGGTACCTGGTGGTTGACCAGCACGCCACCACCTGCATGCAGCACCTAAGCAGGTCTCTGGGAGGGAAACGTCAAGCATTCTCCGGCAACTTGAAGAGGCGGGTGGGTGGCATCCTCGGAGAGACCGTTCGCCTGTGCGGGAACAGTTCCTGCGACTGACATCCTGTGACTTGGATGAATTTAGGCCTCTCAGAGCAAACCCCAGAGAACAAGAATCCAAGTTATGACTGGTGTGAACTTAGCCACTCCTGGATTTCTTGGCAAAAAACAAATAAACCAACAAAATAAAAACATCACGTGAGAGAGGGAGAAGGGAAGAGAACTCAGGTTTACTAGCGCTCTACGGAAGCCTGGTGCCAGAGGGCCTAGCCACTGCCTCCCTCACTGCCTCTCAGTGTGAGGATTAAAGAGGTCAATACACACAAAGCAGGTGGAACGGTGCAGACGCAGCCCGCCGTCACCATCATCACCACCATCCCCACACATGATGCTGCCTGTCACTGCCTCCACGGAGCCAGGACCCTCCCTCGGGAGTCACAAACCTTCAGAGTGGGACTGAGCAGCTTATTAGCAGCCCTGTGAAGTCCCCTGAGTGAGATGGGGACAAAAATACAATTTAGCAGAGAGTGACTGAAAGCTGCTGTGCATCAGGACCTGTGCCTAGAGTGGAAGATACAGGCGCAACCTGTTAGCAGCTCACAAGGTCTAGATATGGGATGAAGGAGATGCATCACAACCGTGCTAAAGGATGCATGTGTGCTTGCAACTCGATGGGAAATGCACAGTCTTGAGCTGTGGTCATTCAACCCACTTTTGAGGGATCTGTGGGGTCTGGAAAGGACAGCAATGACTGCTGTTTGAGGATCCCCTAGGCAGGTGCTGGAGAGAAGGTAGCACACACATTAGCTTCGTGTCAAGGGCGTAAGATGGGCTGTGGGAAGTGCTTCCACCTGGGGAAGATGCTGGGGAGACAGGGTCTGAGGAGCAGGAGCTGCTACCTGGTTCATCCTCAATCTGCCCGGCCTTGACTGCATAAGCTACTTCACCTTCGTTTCATCTCAGGATCATTATCTGAAAACTGTGGATGATGATGGGATTTAGCTCACAGGGTTATTATGGAGATTAAGTGAGGCAATAAATGCAAAGGTCTTTGAGGGGTACCTGGCATGTCATCAGTGCCAGCCCAGAGTTTGCAGACGCCTTAGGTGGGGGTACTGGTGACTGACACGGAGAAGTCAGGCTTCACACAGAGCAGGGCACAGGGCAGACCCTACTGTGGGTCAAATATGCAGCTGAGGGCACCCTTGAGGCAGCTGTCCCCTTGTACACGGTGACCTCTGCAAACTGAACTTCCTTTCATTTAAACATCCCTGGTCTAGTGTCATATCACATTAATAAGTGAACAACATTAACTTTGTCCGATTTCACCGCAAATTAACCACCGGCTGGCTTACTATTTGGGAGGGTAGATTTACTGCCAGGCTATGTATGTGGTATTAATATATATTTTTAGACTATGCCCATCTAGAGTACATGGTCCCTATGTTCTACCAGTATTTATTTATTCAAGCCTGAAAGGGATGAGGTTTAGAACCACGAAACAGTCATTCCTGACAAGGGCTTACCTACCTATTACAACATCTTTATTTTTAGGATGAGGAAACAGAGAAGCAAAGACATGAAGTGGTGACCTTAGGGTACTCAGTTTGGGAGACAGTGACCACAATCCAGGGTGAAGTGGGGACAGAACCAGGGAGACCGGGGAGGAAAATGTCCCGTAGGCTGCTGGGCTGTGCTGTGTCACAGATTAGTTAGGCATGTCTCTTCACGCACGCAAAGCCACCAGCACATCTGTAAATAACTCGAAAATGTTCAGGAAAACAGACTTCATTTCTAGCAGCCAAAATTGCCAGTCCAGACACTGAGCTCTGTGAAGGATTCCTTGTACCCAGCAGTAAGATTCTCATGGGGAATGTGAGCTGGGCCACGAGGCCCTGACGGTTCACTGCAAAGTTAGCCTGATAAGGTAAGTGCACATTCCCAAGGGCACTGATTCTCCATGTCAAAGATGTGTCCAGGGGACCGCAGGACTCCTGTGGGGAGGCAGCCATGTTCCATCAGGAGCAAGGGTGTGCGTGGCTAATGCTTTAAGAAGGGTGGTGAGGCGCTGGAGTTTTAAAATCGGTTTTTAATTTGTATTGCCTCACTAAATGATTGGGTGATGTCAAACAAGATCTTTAACTGCCAATGCTCATTTCCTTCAGGAAAAATGAGAATGAGCATAGAGTAGGATTTTGCTTTTCTGTTTTTATACCTTGAGGAGATCTCAAAAATTACATAATCCAAATTTTATGTTTCAGCTGAGGAAACTGAAGCCTAGAAAAGTCAAGTGACTGGTTTAAAGGCCCACAGCCAGTGACAGAGTAGGACACAGAACGCCTGATTTATGGATCCCATGCCCTTTCCATAAAATCTCATGCTTAGTTATAAAATGCTTGCAAATGCTGAGATGAAAGTTTTCATGTTGTCAAGTAATACGACCACATTTGAAAAGTTGGAACCTAGCCTCAGCAATTTGTCTATATTCGATGCTGCCTATAGGTTTGGCTCCCTGCCCTGTGGTTCCTTCAGTCGAAAATGTTCTGAAAAGCAATCATCTTTTAAAAGATGAACTTTACAAGTCAGCCCGTTTGGTTTCTGAATTTGAGTGTTCAGAACTAGATCACAGAGCTTGGGGCCCCACATGGTAGCTGACATCCTCCCCTGTCTTCAGCTTGGTCTGTTTTGCTGAGGCCTTTTCAGAAACTTGCTGACTTTTGCAGGCCAAATTTACAGCTTTGCAGGCCACAAAGGCAGGCGTGGTGCAGTATGTGGAAACAGCAAGAGGCTTTGGAGTGAACTAGACCAGGGCCGAGGTCTAATTCTTTAACATTGATTCAGCACGCATTTATTCTGAGCCTCTTATGTGCCAAACCCTGCGTTGTGTGACCTTGGGTGGGTCATTTAACTTCACTAAGCCTCAATTTCCTCTTGTGTTAAATTAAAATAACAAACCCTTCCTTTCAACATTGTTCTGAGGATTAGAAATAAAAGTACACATAGTAAGGCTAAGTAAGTGGTGGCTGCTATTATTTTTATCAGAGGCTGGGCTGCAAATATCCTAGAGATGAACAATATATTACCATTGACAAATGGGAAATCAGACAGAAAATGGGAATGAGCCAAACAGTGGTAAAACCCCATCTCCACTAAAAATACAAAATTTAGCCAGACATGGTGGCAGGCACCTGTAATCCCAGCTACTCAGGATGCTGAGGCAGGAGAATCGCTTGAACCCGAAAGGCGTAGGTTGCAGTAAGCCAAGATCATGCCACTGCACTCCAGCCTGGGGGACAAGAGCAAGACTTTGGCTCAAAAGAAACAAACAAAAAACAGAGAAACTAGAGAGAGAAGAAAACTCCTAAGCGAATATGTATCATCTTTGGAGAAAATCTACAAGTTATCTAAAACTGTGTGTGTGGTGTGTGTGAGTGTGTTTGTGTGTATGCCCTCTATTCTTTATTATTTGCTTTCTTAGAATCCTAAAATATCAGAAGTGGAAGAAACTTAAAACAGTCTCTAGTTCTAGTTCTCATCTACCAAGGAGGAATCATGCTGAGGCCACCAGGGCTGGCCGAGGCCCCTCACTCCATGCCTTGGCTCTGTTCAGAGCCTAGATCTCCTCATTCCCTCTCTGCCATCTGAGGAAGGTGATAGGATAAAAGCCATTTTTAGAGTGCAGTAAAAGGTATCTGAAATGATGGCTCCTCCAAAAGAACATCATTCCAAAGGTCTTGCTTAAATGAATGAAGGAATGAAAAGCTTTTTAGACTCTAAGGACGCCTGTGTGTTGCTTCTGCCCCCTGCTGGTGAGAGAGGAGACAGTCAGGTCCCAGAAATCTCAAAGATGAAATAAGGATGGGTCAGGAACCACGCATAACTTTCCAGATTAGACAGGAAGAGATGCGGCAAGATTTAAGGAAGGGGTCGGGGGTGGGTAACACAGGAACATGATAACACATTTTTTTTTTTGAGATGGAGTCTCAGTCTTTGCCCAGGCTGGAGTGCAGTGGCACAATCTTGGCTCACTGCAACCTCCACCTCCCAGGTTCAAGCTGATTCTCCTGCCTCAGCCTCCAAAGTAGTTGAGATTACAGGTGCATGCCACCACTCCTGGCTAATTTTTGCATTTTTAGTAGAGATGGGGTTTCACCCCGTTGGCCAGGCTGGTCTCGAGCTCCTGACCTCAGGTAATCTGTCCACCTTGGCCTCCTAAAGTGCTGGGATTACAGGTGTGAGCCACTGCACCCAGCCAATAACACATTAAGGATTTTTTTTTTTTTTTTTTTTTAAAAAGGAGGGCATTCCCTGTTACAAAGGTAATTTTTTTTTTCCACACAGGGTCTCTCTCACTCTGTCACCCAGGCTGGAGTACAGTTGCGCTATCTCAGCTCACTGCAGCCTCAACCTCCCAGGTTCAGATGATTCTCTCTCCTCGGCCTCTTGTGTAGCTGGGACTGCAGGCACACACCACTACATCCAGCTAATTAAAAATTTTTTTTTTTTCTTATAGAGATGGGGTTTCGCTATGTTACATGGGCTGGTCTCAAACTCCTGGCTCAAGCGATTCTCCCACCTCAACTTCCCAAAGTGCTAGGATTATAAGCCTAAGCCACCACGCCCAGCCCTCAAAGGTAATTCTAGATGTATTTGACTCTTCTATTCCTCTCGTGTTATTTGAAGTCATGTGATTTCCTCTCATAAGGATAGGGAAGTTGTTTTTGTTTTTAACCTTTTACTTAATTGATAACACTAGGGAATTTTTTAGTTTTATAATGATTTTTAAATGTATATTTTTTTTCTTAAAAGAGCTTTGCTCCAGCTCGGTATTTCTGGCACCGTAAATCCGGACACAGATGTTTTTCCCTGGATGTCCCATGTTTCAGGCTTCTTCTGACAGTTAGTCTAGTCGGTGGCCCTCAGTGGCACCAGTGTGGTGGCTCCTGGGATCACACTGCCCTCCACTGTCCACAGAGAGACACAGCAGCCAGGCAGGACGTGCCTGTCCCACGAGGCTAAAACTAAAGAATCCCTAAGACAAAGTCATTACCTTCTTATGAGAAAATCTCTTGGCTTGACTATTGAATCCTTTTTTTTCTGATTCTGGAATTATCCAAGATTGGGATTTAAAAGAAATGGAGGATTGTGTTGGATATGCAACAGTAAAACCTAAACAATAAAAATGAAATAAAAGCAAAATGAGTACAAAACAATGATTGACAAATGTGGAAAACACAGAGGTATATGTTAAAGTTTTATTTTAAATAGTGGAGAAGAAAAACTTGCCTTCTGGCAGGAAATAGACATGAAACCGAATTTTTTTTTAAGAGAGTCTCGCTCTGTCACCCAGGTTGGAGTGCAGTGGCGCGATCTCAGCTCACTGCAACCACAGCCTCAAAACCACATCACATGCTGGGGCTAGGGGAGGGACAGCATTAGGAGAAATACCTACTGTAGGTGACGGGGTGATGGAGGAAGCAAACCACCATGGCACATGTGTACCTATGTAACAAACCTACATGTTCTGCGCATGTACCCCAGAAATTAAAGTACAATAAAAAATTTTTTAAAAAAAGTATTCCCCATTTTCCTTCCCTCTTGGCAATTTGTCAGACTTCCCCTCTCCAGCTCTTACACTGGTGAGATGAGGTCACATAAAGTGCCTTAAAGCAGGCTGTCCCAGGGAAAAGCATGGAGACGACAGCAAAGACATTCTTGCCAGGCAGGAAGGACGTGGGAAAGCTATTCTGGGAGCAGCCTGGACAAGGCGTGGGCAGAGGACACAGGAAGTGTCCTCACTGCTCCTTGGCCTAGATTCAGACACCAGCGTTAGGCCATTAAAATCCAAAGAGGTTAGGGAAATCCCAGCGCGGGGCCGGCTCTCACTTTTCAGGACACTGTGCAAGACAGGCGTAAGTTTTCGTTTCTGCTTTGAGCAGACATGGGGTTAAAAAGCAGAAAGGGGTCATCTATAGAAAGTGAAGTTATAAGTTCGCATGTATAGGTTGCGATGTATAAATACATGCCTGGTGTATAAACTCCCCTCCTGCCGAGACTTCCACAACCGCTAGAACTGAGCAGCATCGATCTGCATAGCAAGTTGATTACAGACCCTAACCTGTAAATGTAATGGACTCTGATTCCAGTTTTTTGATGTTTCGTGGCTGATAGCTCTTCACCTTCACCACTCCCTCATTCCCTTCTGCCCCACCACTGGGCAAGCAGATGAGAAAGCCCAATGCTCCCTCCTGTGGCACCAGCTGGAAGTTCAAACCACACAAACCCCTGCTCTCAGTCCAGTCCCATTTTCCAACCATAACGAAACCCCCAAGCCAGGCTCCTTTCCCTGCTCTCTCAAGCCATTATTGGATCAGGTGAGGAAGGCCGTGCTGCTGTCCTCAGAAGGCCTCCCGATGCGGGTGATAAGCCTTTTTCCACACTCTTGATGAGCCTGTGTGTGGCACTGTCCGTCTTAACATCTAAACCAAATTTTGGGTGTGGGGTGAATCCTGACTGTAGGCGGTTCACAAGAGTAAGCCAAATTATTTTAACGTCAGAATTCTAACCGTCAGAGAGAAAATGTGTGCAGAAATGGGGGGAGAAAACAGTCAAGAGAAGGAAAGAATAAAGCACGTGTCAGCCATGGCAGAGAGTGGTTTGCACGGAAACTGTTGGTAAGGTTCATTTCTTCATCTCTGAATTTTTTAAAAAACAATGCGCCTTTTCAGAGCGGGAAACCTGAAGACAATAGTGACCCCTCAAGGGGTACTCTCTTGAACCAGCTTCACAGATGAGGAAACTGAGGCTTAGAGGGATTATGTTACTCATCCAAATCACCCAGCACTTAGCGGAACAGGTGGGGTGTGCACATGATTTGCCTAATGAGCCCAGGCTCTTGAGCTCTGAGTTGTGCTTCCTCTTCCTGAGCTGGCCTCTAGTAAGTGCTCAATAAACGGATGACTGACATGATGGGGAGAGGGACACTTGAGCCTAATCTGCGTGGGTGGAGGATGAAGCAAGTCAAAGGAGCTGAATACATGTTTAAGCAGAAAATATTTGGGAATATCAATATACAGTATATTTATTCTTCTCCTCCCCTCTCCTCCCCTCCCCATTTAAGTAGATGAATGGCAATGTTTTTGGTTTGTTTGCTTTAAGAGAGCTATACAGCAAACGAAGCGGCAGAAGCAGCTGCAAGACTTCCTGGCTTTTGTTTCTAAAAGCCTAAGCCTATGGAACAGCTAAGAGAGTGTGCAGAGGAGGCACTAAAGAAAAGAGCGCTATTTAGAAAAGGTGAAAGGAAGGACATTCTCCTGGGGACAGGAGAGGTTTCTGCCTGACTGGAAGGAGAGCCAAGGCTTCTGGCTCTAACAGACTGGCCTGTGTCACAGCAATCAGATGAAACAATCAGAAAAGAATTTTTGAAAACCACTCTGGATGGCTGAACTCCTTCTAACCAAAAAGGGACCAGATTTGTCCTCCCAGCTGGAAAAAAATAGTTTAAAATGGGCAAGATGTATGAAGCAATCAAGACACCGGACATCAGGCAACAAAGGACAGGGATCTCTGAGAGAAGAAAAATAAATGAGGCTGGCAATAAGATGGCCCCAGCTTTCTGTCAGGAGAAAGTCTCCAGGCCACAGCACAGGAAGAAGGGCTCCGGATGGGGCCCCGTGATCTGCCTGAGTCGAGGAAATGGATCTGGGAGCCCAGAAGGGCCAAGACAGCTGAGTTCACAGAGCAGAGTACCAGAGAAGAGAGAGCTACGGAGCTCTGCAAAGGGGCCCCTGAGTGAGTTCCTGGGTATTGCCCAACACGGGCACATCAGAAAACTACCCAAGGCTGGAGAAAGAGCCACCTGACAATTCAAGTGAGCAATCCCTGAGGCTTCCACAGGGCCAGGAATAGCTCCTGTTTTCATGAGTCACAGCGGGAAAACCTCATAATTCATGGAACATAAAGTATGCAGGAGGGTTTCACCTCAGAAATAGGGCAGAATTACCCCTAGACTAAATGCTCCTCTGGTTCCAGCTGACAAAGCTTAAAAGCAAGACCTGAAAAGATCAAACTGTTTCCAAATAATTCCACTGCACCTCAGAACGAAGCACAAGAATATTTACGGGACTACAAAAATAGACAGCACCTAAGAAGTAAAATTCAAAATATCTGGCATTGATAAATTTAGTAGGAGAAAGAAGGAAAAAATATACTTCAAAATGGGGGTAAAATAAACAATCAAAACCGATTCAGAAATGATACAGATGATAAAATTAGTGGAGAAGAACATCATGACTGCTCCACTAACTGTATTTCATATGTTCAAGAAGCCAGAGGAAAGACTGAGCATATTAAGTAGACATGGAAGATATAATAAAAAGATCCAAGATACAATAAAAAGATGCAAATCAAACTTCCAGATATGAAAACAAAGATGTCTGAGATTAAAAATATACTAGATGCCCAGGCACAATGGCTCACACCTGTAATTCCAGCACTTTGGGAGGCTAAGGCAGGCAGATCAACTGAGGTCAGGAGTTCAAGACCAGCCTGACCAACATGGAGAAACTCCATCTCTACCAAAAATACAAAAATTAGCTGAACATAGTGGTGAGTGCCTGTAATCCCAGCTATTCGAGAGGCTGAGGCAGGAGAATTACTTGAACCCACGAGGGAGAGTTTGCAGTGAGCCAAGATTGTACCACTGCACTCCAGCTTGGGCAACAGAGTGAGACTCTATCTCAAAAACAAAAACAAAACAAACAAAAAAACCAGTTGATGAGATGAATAGCAAATTAGACATTACAGGAAAAAAAGATTAGTCAACTTGAAGATATAGAAATAAAACTATATAAAATAAAACACAGAGAGAAAAAGGACAAGAAAAAGGATTCATGAGCTGTGTGGAAACTTTGAGGAGCCTAATACATATGTAATCAGACTCTCCAAAACAGAAACATGAGGACAGAAGAAATAGAAAAAAAAAAATGGGTCAAGAAAAAGTGGTTGAAATTTGTCTAAATTTGATAAAAACTACAGACTCACAGATTCAAGAAAGTCAATGAACCTCAAATACAAGAAACACGAAGAAAACGACACCAAGGCCAACCATGATCAAATTGCTTAAAAAGTGATAAGAAGAAAATGTTAAAATTGGGCAGAGACAAAAGACATGTCACATACAAAGAAACAAATACAAGAATGACAGCAGATTGGTATCGAAAACAAACCTCTAAGGTACTAAAAGGAAAGAAAAACCTGTCACCCTAGAATCCTGTACCCAGTAAAAATATCTTCCAAAGCAAAAGAAGAATAAAAAGTTTTAAAAATATATAAATATCAAAAGAATTAATCATCAGCAAAGTGGAGCTATAAGAAATGTTACGGGAAGTCCTTCAGGCTGAAGAAAAATGATCGCAAATAGAAATCTGAATCTACATAAAGGAAAGAAGAGCTCTGGAAATAGTAAGTATGTGGGTAAATAGAAAATATAAAATTATGAGCATAAAGTGAATAATTTAAATATAACATTTAAAACATTTAAAAAGTAATGATTATGGGCCGGATGTGGCATCCTGTAATCCCAGCACTTTGGAAGGCATTCTCACCTGAGGTCAGGAATTCAGACCAGCCTGGACAACATGGTGAAACCCCGTTTCTACCAAAAACACAAAAATTAGTCAGGCATGGTAGCAGGCACCTATAATCTCAGCTACTCAGGAGACTGACGCAGGGGAATCACTTGAACCGGGGCGGGGCAGAGGTTGTAGTGAGCCAAGATCACACCACTGCACTATATAACCTGGAAGACAGAGCAAGACTCCATCTCAAAAAAAAAAAAAAAAGATTATGGAAAGCAAAAATAACAACTGTTTTGTGGGTTTTATACCGTATGTACAAGTAAAACGTTTAACAACAGTAATACAAAGGCCAGGAAGGGAAAAAGAAAAATATACTGTTTTAAGGTTCTTCTACTATACGTGAAGTGTTATAATATCATTTGATGTTAGACTATGATAAGTTATATACTATAAGCTCTAAAGTATGTAGGGATCAACAAACTTTTTCTAAGAACCAGATAGTACATATCTGTCTATCTATCTATCTATCTATCTATCTCACCTATCTCTATGTTGAGACAGGGTCTTGCTTTGTTGCCTAGGCTGGAGTGC